CCCCGGCTGCTGCCGTGGAAGGTTCAGCACGTAACTGTTCCCTTCTCCGGCCCTTATCCCTGCCACTCGTACCTTCATGGAGTAGCATCGTCAGCCTGCGGTCAGCCGTTTTCAGAGCTGAACCGTATCGGACTGTCCTGCAAAGGGATATTCCTTACCTGTGATCAGCCACCTTTCTGCTCTGTATGGTTTCCCATTCTGCTTTCAAACTTCGAAATGTTACCTCTAAAACCTGAGGTGCAGATTCAATATAAAGTTCAATTTTTTCCTTTTTTTTCTTAATTTGCTTCCGAGCAGTCACCTCAGATGCCTGTATTAGTCCCAAAACACCACGCTGAGATCATGTGTTCTTCTGTATTGATAAATTCAGTGTTACATTGAATTTCATGTGTCCTTAGCTTACTTTAATGGGTTTTAAATGTTTTTGTCTGTTTTCTGGGCTTTGGAAGAGTTTATTATTTTAGACCTAACAGCAAGGCCTTTTAATGTCCAGACCCACAACAATCCGTGGATAGATCCAGTAGCAGCAGTCATCACGCTGGTTTGCATTACTGCTTTGTGAGGAAAGTGTAGTATGGCGGATTTATTTGCTAGGGCAGCAGATTCTTATTTTCAGGATCTCATCCATGGTCAGGCGGGTTTAGCAGGCAGGTTTACCTTAAATTGACTCTGCTGGAATATTTAAACTTACTGTCCTGTGTGGAATGTTTTTGGATGACAATACTTCTGATCTCATTCTTTAGGATCCTTCTGCTGATCCATCGCAACAGGAAGCAAAACAGAGGTATAAATGATAGCTATTGACTTTTGGTCTTAAATGTAACTGTTTTAAACTCCTTTCCCTTTCCCTTTCCTTTCCTTGAATACTCACCTGGATTTTTTTTTATTGTTGTAAATACCACCAACAAAGGAGCTGAAATATTGAAGACTTAATCCATGGATAGCTAAAATCTGCTTAAGTGTGGCTCCCGGGCCATGACTACATTGGATGATCTACCACAGAGCTGTCAGGCAGTCTGAACCCTGACTGGGGGGGGCGCAGGCCATGTAAGGAAACAGCAGCAGCTCATGCTATCACCTTGGGACTCAGCTGAATACAGCAACCTCATGACTCTTAGTGATACAGTAGGATGTTTTGGGGGGGCGTCATCATTCCCATTGTCACCTGCTTCTGGAACTCAGAAAGCTTGGCTTCTCAGGGTTGGTTATTAGAAAATCTTGAAGGCTGGCAGAACTTCTCCTAAACTGGACTTTTGTCCAAGTGATGAGTTTAGGTTTGGCTCTGTTAGCACAATGGCAACATGCTGTCCTAGCTGATGTGATTGTTCTGGGACATCTACTGCAGTTAAAAATATTAAACAAAATTACTCATGTCAGAGCTTAGCGTAGAAACAGTGTTTAGTAGAAAACCAAGTAGAAAATTGAAAATAAGTGTTCAAAGAGCTAGGCTTTGCACAGTCAAAGTCTGCATTAACTGAAATGCATAAACTAAAGTACCAGTTTTTGCAAATACTTAGTCAAATATTGTAAATATAGGAAGACTTATTGAAAAATTCAGAATAAATAACAAGTCTTAGTTTTGTCTTGCAATTGCCTGGTGTATGCTGCCTTTGATAAAACTTCACGTGGAACTGAACGCAGAATCTTTACAGTGGGTAGCATGACTTTTGTCTTTAAGATTTATTAATAAACAGGGTGTAAGTAGTAAACTCCATCTTGATTTCTTGGAAGATGTTGTCAGCTGTGTAACTTTGTCAGCGTACATAGAGCTGCTCATGACAGAAAATGCTGTAAATTGTGTAAGGTTTGAAGGGACTTCAAGTAGTGACTTACATGCATCGAAAGTATTCTATTTCCTGTATATTGTTTTAGGTATTTGAAACCCCACTTTTACCATGTGGTTATTTTTCCATCACAGGGAAGCAGAGATAAGAAATACTATTTTAGCTCAAGTTCTTGACCAAGCAGCCCGTGCAAGATGTAAGTATACAAGTCACTTTCTAATAAAAGATTCTCATGTAGTGTATGCCAGTGCTGCTCAAATCAAGCATGTATGTGCTTGTATAGAGGCCAGACTAGAAAAAGTGGTGTTGATGGGAGGCTAAAACTATCACAGCTTTTACATTTGTGATATCAGTTATTGGAGGGGAAGGGTTTAACCGACATCTGAATGATGGTAATCTTTTTTTTTTCTAATTTATAGTAGAACTTACGGTGAGAGTCAAAATTAGTTAATCTAATTAGGAACAAACACTTAAGTGTATGAGATACAACTCTCTTATATTTTATTTATATAAACGAAAATGCCTTCTTCAATTTATTTCATGACCCTGGCATGAAGAAGACTGTTTCATTGGGACGTTTGTCACTTTTTAGTTACTAGTGAAGGTATTTGAGTGTGTTTTAAAACAAAATGAACAGAGGCTGTTTTTGTTGCAGTAAGCAATTTAGCACTTGTGAAACCAGACAAAGCGAAAGCAGTAGAGAATTATCTTATACAGATGGCAAGATTTGGACAGCTAGCTGGGAAGGTGAGTTACGGTTTTCTAATTTTTTTCTCACATATAAGCCGCTCCTTATGAGGAGCGGCTGAGGGAGCTGGGTCTCTTTAGTTTGCAGAAGAGGAGACTGAGGGGAGACCTCATTCATGTTTATAAATATTTAAAGGGTGAGTGTCACGAGGATGGAGCCAGGCTCTTCTTGGTGACAAACAATGATAGGACAAGGGGTAGTGGACACAAGCTGGAACACAGGAGGTTCCACTGAAATTTGAGAAGAAACTTCTTCTCAGTGAGGGTGACAGAGCACTGGACCAGGCTGCCCAGAGAGGTTGTGGAGTCTCCTTCTCTGGAGACATTCAAAACCCGCCTGGACGCCTTCCTGTGCAACCTCTTCTGGGTGTTCCTGCTCCGGCAGGGGGATTGGACTGGATGATCTTTTGAGGTCCCTTCCAGTCCCTAACGTTCTGTGATTCTGTGATTCTGTAATTTAAACAAATTTTGGTGTTTTTAACATCTTTAAATTAAATACCTGAAAAAGGCAATTGAGAGCTTCTAAATACTATTATATAACTTCATCAAATACCTTTTATAAGAAGGGAGTGTGTGATTCAGTTGTTTTGTACTAAGGATCTCTCGGAATGTCTTTATGTGGCTTTTGTGTTCCTAGGTATCAGAACAAGGTTTGATAGAAATACTTGAAAAAGTGAGTCAGCAAACAGAAAAGAAAACGACAGTAAGGGTAAGCTTCATTTCCTGAATGTAATTCTGTTCTAAAATAGAGCAGAAAAGCTGCATGCATTGGACCATTTTAGTTCAGGATACAACTTAACTTTTTATTGATCACCTCTCTTAGCTGTACTGCTAAGTACTGAGATTAAATCATAGCAGCCCTTAGCAACAGTATATAATGTGCAGATACTAGCACTGGGATATCAGTGTTGTGCTGTGAGACAGAGTACCCTGTGTCTGTCCTGTACCATTATGCCAGATGAGGAGTGGGGAGGGAGCTTGTGATGGGGTGAACGTTCTGCTCCCATTTAATGTATTCATTGTCACATGCATCAAGTTTGAAAGGCTCGCTCTATGTTGGTGTGACCCTTCTGCTCTCACTTAATATATTTCAATTTTAGTTCAACAGAAGGAAAGTACTGGATTCTGATGAAGAGGATGATTATTAGTACTGCTGTAAGACTGCCAAACAAAAGGCCTGGAATAAGGCAAGATATTGTTACCAGGCAGAACACAAGATCTGAAAATGTTTATGCTTCTTTACTTCTTTTTTTTTATTTTTACAAAAAGGCCAACAAATGAACTTGTCATGTAAAACAAACCTGAGAAGAGGATTTTGTAACTTAAATTTTTGTAGTGTAAGAGGCCTGAGCAGTGTGGGGTTCCCCACTACTTGGTTAGCATGAGTATTTTGTTGCCCCTTACTCAGTGTGTACGCTATGCTTTCAGCAACTGCACACAGTTAAGTTGCTGCTATTGGAGATACCGTACAGCACTATTCAGGCACTTGGTATAGTAAATTCCTAAAACTACCTCCATTTTTATCAAATGGCTGGAGTGTTTCTTACCTTGAAAAAAGACCCTTTTCCTAAACTTTCTGCAACTCCTGCATGCATAAAGTAAAACTGAACTTGTGCGATACGTTTATTCAAAAGCAATGTTATGGAAATAAATAGGATAAATACTGTAATGTGCTGATAAACACTCTACCACCACAAAACCCTTTTCTGACATAATTTAACAGAAACATGTATGATCCCAACTGCAGTGTTTTTTGCAACAAAATAAAATCGTGCACTAAAAGCAAGCACTGGTGGCTGTTCTTTTATCTTGTGTAAATGTGGTTTAAAAGTATTTAAATAGTTGGTTTTGTTTCATTTGGACTAGACTGGGCATTTTGCTTGCCTATTCTTGTAATGAGGATTCCTTAACATTAGTACTAGTGTGGGTGTATGCTGTATTTCTTTATACTAATGATCCTTTACCAGAGTGAAGCGTTTCAAGCTAAAGTGTGGTGATGGATGGTTTAAAGGTTTTCCATTAGGATTACAGATGTATCCTAAGCATCCACACTCCACATTCCCATTCCTAAATTTCTGCTTGTAACAACATAAGCTTTATTGCCTTGCTGTTGTTCTAAAAACGTTGTTCCAGAATCTCAGTTGTCAAAATGTGAAGTAATGCTTCGGATTTTTAATTTACAACCTTTTGGAGATTAAACTGGATTGAGAAGCTTCCAGGGGTACTCCCTTCAAATCCTATTCTAGTTTAGCCTTTGATCATCCTATCTTTGAATATGAAGCTATTTTTTAATTACAAGCTTGGTTAAGCACGTCAAAGGAAACTTGCAAACTATTTCATTTACCTAAATAATTTTTTAGTCATTATCTTTCCATCATTTAGATTGTAGAGGAACTTTCTGGGATTTAAGTGCTTTTTGGTTTTGTTTTTGTGGATTTTTTTTTTAATGTACATACACTGTACATCCAAAATGCCCTGAAATAAGCTTTATCCTAGACTGAAACATTGAACAAAACTGAAGCACGGCTCAGTCACTTGAGTAGCCTCAGGTTCACAAGGACAACTGTTCCAATACTGTAACAGAATAGAAAACTCAGGTTAATTCTAATAAATTTGTACATTTCCTATAAAGCTCTAAATATATATATATATTCTTCTGTTAGATGTCTTAAAATAGAGATTTTGTTAAAAAATATAATAGGCAATATGCACCAAGTCCGCATTATGTTGCCTTAGTAAGGTACTATGCTTTTTTTTTTCCCCAACATTTTATATTTCATTAAGGGGGAGGAATTTTTCAAAGGCAAGCGCCACTTTAACGCCTGGCCAATTCTTAAATTTTAAGAGCAAAATGAACCAGTAGTTATATAAACCATTCATATCAAGGCTGAAACTTGGTGTTGCAGGTGTTTCATTGCTTGCACAGAATACAACAAAGTACTTTATGCTTAAAATGTAAGAGTATTGAAAAGTTGTCTTCTATATCCTGTTGTATTAAAAGTTTGTTTTTAATAGAAAAAAACCCAAGTAACTAAAGGAGAGTTCATATCCTCCAATACTTACCTGTAACCCTTACCAAAGTTATTTAATTGGCTTTTAAAAACTTGTTTCTAAAGCTATTCAAACACACTATGCTTACCATTAAGGATGAAGAAAAAGGACTTAGCACAGTGCCACTAAGTTCAGTATTAACTCAAGGTCTGTAGTTACAGCCGTACATTCTGTACTTACACTCGACACTCTTAGCATAGTATCACCAGTATTAAAAAACTAATAAACTGATTTTTCTCATCCATATTGTAAACAAATACTTAAGACAGGAATAATTTAATTAAATGCATACTATAATTAAAACATAAGCAGAATTTTCACTATGTAGTTTGGAAATCAGATCTATGAAAGTTTACTTGTATCTTAAACTTTATAAGTAATATTTAGGTTATTTTTGCTACAGGTAAGCATAAGTTACTTACTCCAGGTCATCTTTATAATGTCACAAGAAAAAAAAACTAATTCATATCTCTTTCCTCTTGGTCGTTTGGCTGTAATAGCTGAACATCCATCCTACGCTGTTATTTTTAAAGGGAATACAGAGCTAGAGAATGAACCGACATGTTTGGTCTCACTAACAATTCTGCATTGTATACTCTGTGCCTTACATCCCAAACTACACAACCTAGCAGTAGTAACCCATGAATGCAGGAGGGAAGGAGGTCATATTGAACTTGAGAGTAAATTTCAACAGATCCCTCAATTTACACTGAGACACAAGGTGAAGTCTTCAAATGCCTACAAAACAACAGCAAGGAAATGTGCATAAAAGACTCAATGCTTTGAAAAAAGCACTCAAAGAAAACACCATTTTCAAGGATTATTTTACTAGGTCTTTTTTCTTTCCATCATTTGGCACAAATCCAAGGCACATTATAAAATCAGATAAACTCATAAATTATTAGAAAAATAAACACATGACCCTCAACTCCAAATGTCCATATGTGCACTTATTGCACATTTCACCTCTTGAATTAAAAAGTTATTTGAAAAAAAATCACCAGTATGTCTTCCAGCTTTGTATTTTGCCAGGCAGTTTACTAATATCACAGTTAAAAGAAATAGAATCATTCATACAAATAGTTTATGAAATAAAATGCAAGCTGGATGTGATGAGCCAAGAATCAAAAATACTGCACTTAGAACCCTGGCTTGTGCTATGTACACGTCCTCCTACCATAACCCAAACAGTTAAAAATTAAGTCCAAATCTAAGCAGCCATCTCATAGTTACTTGTGAGCTTTCAGTTCTTCAGTGATCACTTCTAGGAATGGGGTAATATTTGGCCTCTTCCAACAAACGTTTACTGATGTGAGAAGTACCTTTTGTAATTGGAATTTCACCTTTTTGAAGAGCAGTCTCCTAAGCAGCAGTTTTGTCTGCAGATGTTGCCCAGGCTCAGAATCATGATTATTTGTGCGTTTTTGCATAACTTGCTTTAGAAGAAGGGGAAAAAAAAACTCCAAACAAACAACAAACCAACAATGTTACATTTTGCGTGTCCTTATACGTACTTGCTTGTTTTTTGTTTTTTTTATTTTATTAGGCTGTGAGCCCAAGTGCGGCTTTGTCAAGGGCTCTACTTTTTCCCAGTATCTTGGCTGTGTAAGAACTTGATCTTCCAGATCCAATACAGGGGAGCATTGCAAACAAATTAGCAAGGATTATATCCCATCAGAATAATAGCATATATAAATTTCTAATGCAGCATTGCAGATGTTAATGGACTACTGTTTTCCCAGCTACTGAAATGTACAGAAATATATACCATAATGGTAACTTTACAATAAAAATAGAGACATTTCAATTAGCTCTGGCAATAAATACCTTGTTATCCAATATATCTTTATATATATAAATA